GGAGTCACCATCCCTGGCTGTGTTTAAGGGCCGTTTAGATGCAGTGCTGAGGGACAGGGTGTAGGGGAGGACTTTGTAGAGTATGGGAGATGGGTGGACGCGATGATCCCAAGGGTCTCTTCCAACCTAGACAATTCTATGATTCTATGATATCTGGCACAGCACATATTACAGTTGCATTTTTCCCAACCATCTTAGCTGCTGTCCTTAGAACTGCTGTCCTTGCTGTCCTGGAAATTGTGTTCCAACCATGAAACGCTGATCCAAAGTAAGAACTTAAAGAAAATTATTATTATAATGCTTTAAAGAAAGAAAAATATGCAATAACACTGAAACAGGAAAACCAGCCCTTCTCCTTTGGGGTGGGAGGGGATGACACGCCCTGAAAATACATTGTCTCATCCAAAGATTAAACATTAGGAAGCCCTGGAAAATCTTCTCTACTGTACAATTAACAGTTTATTACTAGAAGACAAGAACAAGAACAGCCTCTGAAGACTTAGCTATTTGTATCATTTAATTATTGTACTCCAGATCAACCTCTCATGTTTCTCAACTGACTTTTTGGCCAGGTTGACCTTTTTACAACCAGAAGAGTCCTCTTTAAGACATCTGATCTCTTACTAAAAGTTAGTTTTTTCAGGGAAAGCTTTAGCACATTATAAACATGTTAAACAGTAGTATAGCAGGTTGGCACCATTTTCTCTATTAGTGCCTTTAAATGTCAATCTCTCCACAGAGGGCATAAAGCACTAAGGTCTAGAAATCCTTTTTGTTTGTTTGTTTGTTTTTCCTACGGCTTATTTACTAATTATCTGTAAGATGCAAGGCTAAATGAATAGTTACTGCTGAAAAGTCCCCACTTTCTCAAGTGTTAAGCCTGAAACTGCACAGTTTTAGTTCTTTTAATCTAACTCTCTCCAGAGAAAAATAATTTAATGTGACTTTAAAGCTAGATTTTGCATATATACACATAAGGAGATTATGAGGGAGTGGGAATGTCTAGACTCCTCTAACTTGGGTCTGACAACAGGACTGGGTTATTCATGCTGCCTCATTAATGCACCTAATATAATTTAGGAGGCTAGTTTTCCTAGGTGATAGATAGAGACAGATCTTTCTGATGGTATTCTGAGGATGTTTGCCTTACACTGATTGTGAAGAGGCCAGTGTAATTCCACTCATGATAGATGGTGCTCGGAGGAGTAACCACCTAAGTTAGCTACCTCATATTGGGCAGAGAGAATTCCCCCAAAACACCACCGTGCTGCAACCTTTATGCGCACGAGTAAATGACTGAACATAGTCTTTGACTCCTAGTGTGGTCAGCAGATCCAACAGTTGCTTTTGGTGGGACAGAAAAGAAAAAAAAAAAAGTAAGGTGATTGACTGTTTCCTTGGAGTACAATGGACTGTTAATCTATTCCGAGCTTCTGAATAAGGCCAGTAGCACACTGCTGCTTGGGCCTTGTCTTTGGAAGATGCTGTTCTACAGAGCGTCGAGCTCCAAACATCCAACTGAAAATTGCCAACTGAGTAGCTTTTTTCATTGATTTTAGCCAAGGAAATGCATGGACAGTGAATAAGGCAGCTGTTTTAGTCTTTTAACTACCTCTACCCTCAGTAAGTGCTGGAATGCAAAAATCTCTTGAACTCAGTTTGTCTGTAACCATATTAGAAATCCCAGATTAGGTAATGTACCTCTACTGAAGGCAGTGCTAAAGACATCTGGGTCCCTAAAAGGTTGGTTTGTGTTATGCTTTGAGTGGAAAGAGAACAGTGAAAACCAAAACCACTAGATAACAAAAATTCCAAGAAACGGATGTGGTCTTTTGATCTCCTAAAATACTTCCTACATTTGTCAGTTACAATGTAGCCTAATCTGAAAAGCCTGAAAGTAGCAGGACTTATGACTTGGAAGAATTAAGAAGTAGCTTAGCGAAAGAGAAAAGATAATTTATGGAATTCCAGGGTAATTTCAACAAGAGGAGGGCTACTGGCTATTTTTAATACTGCCTTTTGTTAAGAAGGACTGGTGTGAGGCTGCACCTGAACCTGCATACATCAGATGATGACTGCAGCTGAATAGGTTTTACATTCACTGGTTACTCATACTGGTACCAGTAACTCCCAAACCACAGCAATCAACTCAAGCAATGGATGTCTTTCGTGAACACAAAGGAGAAGATTCTCAAGGACACTTAACTTATAACATTGTCTGGGCCCATAACTCTCCCACTGCTTTTGAAAAATGTCCCAAACCATTGCCAAGAGAAATTCTTAACCTTCTTTTCAATCTCATACTGCTGCAGTATTACTCCATGTATCAGTGGATTGGACTAAGGTGCTGACTTGACTGGAGACTGAATAAGTTTCAGTCCTCTACAGTGCAAATCTGGTAAACCAAAGTTAACTGAAGGTAGCACAAGTATTCTAGAGACTCCACTGAGCTTTAAGATCTGTCAGATGATAGAGAGACAAAGGCACTCATGCCTCGACACCACATGGTCTTACAAATACCATTTCTTGTGCTCTGGAACTGACAGCCAATCACTCAGCTGTGGATCAATCATAAGTTATCTCACAACATACGATATGGTGTAGCACAGTAAATAGAAAAGGAGCAGGAAGCTGATTAACTGAAAAAAAGAAGGAATGAGGAAATGTCTCTTACCTGGTCAAGATTGTTGTAAAAATCTATATTGGCTGCACACAGGTATCTCCCAAGTAGAGTCGCATGGGTAGTAAAAATTGTAGCAACAGGAAGTTTCTGAGACCGAGACAGTATTAAACCCACTCCTGCCTGCCACTCATGGAAATGAGCAATTATGTTGGGCTTGTCATCAAACTGACAGGAAAGCTGAAAATAATGAGAAAGAACATACATTATGATGCTCATCATCCCAGCTACAGAAACCTCTTCTTTCCATGCCTTCTTCTGTGTGCTTGCTTTCTCTCATATGACAAAGCAGTACAGAGTTTTAAGTGGTCATGCATCTTGATTCCCATCAGCCCTAATCTTTAGCCCAAAAAGCACATGTGCCTTACTAGTACCTCAGGACAGTATCCTTCCTAGAGTGTTGGGGAGCTTTGGCAAGCACAGTCACTTGTTTCTTTTAACTTGCTCTTCTGCTGCTGAAACTTTTGTTTGGATAAGAAAATCATGAGCACCTATAACAGACAGATGATTCCACAGATTAACAGTTTCCTCTCTTCAGGCAGGCTATGGTAGAGCGACATGTGAAGTCATAGTGCTATCATTAATTCTTTCTGTCTGTCTATATTCCCTGTGCAAGGCAGTACCTAATCACTGAGAGATGGCTTGACCAGCTTCAAGAACAGTTTGTGAGTGTGACAGTTTGACTACAGTTGGAGAGAAAAAGGCAGTTTGAGATCCTACATCTAAGGGCACCCAGTGACAAACAAGGAAGTTGAAAAGAAACAGAGGGGGAACGGACAGTAAAGACACATCCCAAAATCTCACGTAGATCAGCATCCCACCCCCAACCGACGGCCCACATTCTCCCAGAAAAGATAATTAAAGGACCGCTTAAGATTTTAATTTTAAATACAAATTTGATCTACAACTGGTATCAACTTCCTTAAAATCATAGTTTTCAAACTGGAGAATAGGAACCACAATCCAAAGCTCTTTTGCCCTGCTGACAACGCTGAGGTTTGAGAATCTCTGTAACAACTGTACCTCTTTTAAAAACCAGGCTGTTAACGATCCAAAAATCACAGCATCGTTGGCTTCTCGGTCATGAAAAGGGATTCCTATGTTGCTGACATCCCAAAATTCACCTTTCCACTTGTCCAGATTCCAAGCTGCTGATCCTATATCAAACAGTAAGACATATGGGCTTCCCTCTATCAGCCATCTTCCAAAAAAGACCTATGGGGAAGAGGCAAAGATATAAGCAGAAAATGTAAAAGTAAATGTAAAGGCCAGTTAGCATAACTATTCTCATCCATCAATTCTTAAGTATTGTACATAAGGAATGTGTGATCATAGTCCTACACACCCAGCATTTGTGGTTTTCCTTGCAAAATACATGGAGTAATACTGGACCAAACACAGGGTAAAAGAAAATTACAATCTTTAAGAACATTCTGGTTTTAAGACTTGAATTTTAGTTTTTCATTACAATGTTAACTTTTTCTAATGAAAGCAAGCTTAGGCAGACTATACTTGGTTGAATAATGAGGTCTTACATTCTTATTGAAGTATCTATGCCATTTTTGTTCTTATTTCAAAATAATTCTTTTATTTCAGTCACATTTATTATCAATCTTTCACCATTTATGCTAGATTACTGCTGACAGATTTTGTGGGACAGGTGCTCAGGAACTGTATCTACGATGACATTTCCTCACTCTCTCCAGGCAGCACAGTTGATGTCCTTTGGCAGAGTAGAACGATCAATCAGAAGGTATAATAATAGCTAAAAATCACATCAGCCCAAACCCACAGCTTTCCTACTTTATCTGCATCAGCATAGTTAAACATCTCGAAGAGTATTTAGAACTCCACTGACATAACCTACCTGCCCAACCAGGAGAATAGGCTGAAATGTCGTAAGGCAACACAATACAGATTGTACCAGCCTGCACAGTCAAATTATTTCACATTAATTCTACCACCAAAAAAACCTCAAAAGAAGGCCACCTGGAGAGCAGCACAAAGGAATTGCAGCCACTCCAACCAGGGATCCAGTTTAAGTGCCTCTATGAAAATGCAAGTAGCATGGGGAACAAACAAGAAGAGTTAAAGACGTGCAGAGAACTCCAGGGCTATGATCTTATTGGCATCACAGAGACATGGTGGGATGGCTCCTATGGCTGGAGTGTTGGAATGGAAGGATACAGGCTTTAGGAAGGGCAGGCAGGGGAGATGGAGTGTTGCCTTCTATGTCAATGACCAGCTGGAGTACATGGAGTTCCACCTGGGGATGGATGAAGACCCAATGGAGAGGAAACAGGGAACACAGGGGCAGGTGACATTACAGCAAGGGTCTGCTACAGACCACCTGACCAGGATGATGGAGAAGATGAGGCCCCCTATAGACAAGATAGAAGCAGCATCACGTTCACAGGCCCTAGTCCTCATGGGGGACTTGAACCACCCCAATATCTGTTGGAGGGACAACACAGTGGGGCACAAGCAATCTACAAATTTCTTGGAATGCATTGAGGACAACTTCCTTCTCCAAGTGGAAGAAGAGCTAACAAGGAGAGGAACAATACTGGACCTTGTCCTACATATGCTGAACCAACAAGGAGGAGCTAGTGGGGAATGTCAAGCTCAAGGGTAGTCTCAGCTGCAGTGATCATGAGATGGTAGAGTTCAAGATCCTTAGGGCAGCAAGGAGGGTGCACAGCCACTACCCTGGACTTTAGGAGAGCAGACTTTGGCCTCTTGACGAATCTGCTTGGTAGGGTTCCATGGATAAGGCACTGGAAGGGAGAAGAGCCCAAGGAAGCTGGTTAGTGATGGAGAAGATGAGGCCCCCTATAGACAAGATAGAAGCAGCATCACGTTCACAGGCCCTAGTCCTCATGGGGGACTTGAACCACCCCAATATCTGTTGGAGGGACAACACAGTGGGGCACAAGCAATCTACAAATTTCTTGGAATGCATTGAGGACAACTTCCTTCTCCAAGTGGAAGAAGAGCTAACAAGGAGAGGAACAATACTGGACCTTGTCCTACATATGCTGAACCAACAAGGAGGAGCTAGTGGGGAATGTCAAGCTCAAGGGTAGTCTCAGCTGCAGTGATCATGAGATGGTAGAGTTCAAGATCCTTAGGGCAGCAAGGAGGGTGCACAGCCACTACCCTGGACTTTAGGAGAGCAGACTTTGGCCTCTTGACGAATCTGCTTGGTAGGGTTCCATGGATAAGGCACTGGAAGGGAGAAGAGCCCAAGGAAGCTGGTTAGTATTGAAGGATCACCGCCTCCAAGCTCAGAAGCAATGTAACCCAACAAAGAAGTCAGTAAAAAAGCCAGGAAGCCTGCACGGATGAACAAGGAGCTCCTGGACACACTCAAAAGCAAAAAGGAGGCCTACAGAGGGTGGAAGCAAGGACAGGTAGCCTGGGAAGAATACAGAGAAACTGTCCAAGCAGTCAGGGACCAGGTTAGGCAAGCTAAATCCCAGATAGAATTAAATATGCCAGGAACATCAAGGGCAACAAGAAAAACTTCTATAAGGATGTTAATGCTAAAAGGAAGACTAAGGAAGATGCGGGCCCTCTCCAGAAGGAAAGAAAAGACCTGGTCACCCAGGATACGGAGAAGGCTGAGGTACTCAATGACTTTTTTGCCTCAGTTTGAACCGGCAAGGGCTCTAACCACACCATGCAAGTCGCAAAGGGCAAAGGCAGGGGCTGTGAGAATGAAGAACCGTATACTGTAGGTGATGATCAAGAACGAGACCACCTAAGGAACCTGAAGGTACACAAGTCCATGGGACCTGATGAAATCCACCCATGGGTCCTGAGGGAGCTGCCAGATGAAATTGCTAAGCCGCTTTCCATTACATTTGAGAAGTCATGGCACTCTGGTGAAGTTCCCACTGACTGGAAAAGGGGAAACATTACCTCCCTTTTTTAAAAAGGGAAAAAAGGAAGACTCGGGGAATTACAGGCTGGTCAGTCTCACCTCTGTGCCTGAAAAGATCATGGATCAGATCCTCCTGGAAGGCACATGGAAAATAAAGAGGTGATCAGTGATAGTTAACATGGCTTCACCAAGGGAAGTCATGCCACAAATTTGGTGATCTTTTATGACGGGGTTACAGCATTGATGGATAAGGGGACAGCAACAACTGTCATCTACTTGGACTTGTGCAAAGTGTTTGACACTGTCCCACATGACACCATGGTCTCTAAATTGGAAAGACATGGATTTGATGGAGGGACCACTTGGTGGATAAGGAACTGGCTGGATGGCCACACTCAAAGGGTTGCGGTCAATGGCTCAATGTCCAAGCAGAAACCAGTTCAGATCCTCCTGGAAGGCACATGGAAAATAAAGAGGTGATCAGTGATAGTTAACATGGCTTCACCAAGGGAAGTCATGCCACAAATTTGGTGATCTTTTATGACGGGGTTACAGCATTGATGGATAAGGGGACAGCAACAACTGTCATCTACTTGGACTTGTGCAAAGTGTTTGACACTGTCCCACATGACACCATGGTCTCTAAATTGGAAAGACATGGATTTGATGGAGGGACCACTTGGTGGATAAGGAACTGGCTGGATGGCCACACTCAAAGGGTTGCGGTCAATGGCTCAATGTCCAAGCAGAAACCAGTGATGAGTGGTGTTCCTCAGGGGTTGCTAATGGGACCAGTGATGTTCAACATCTTTCTTGGCAACATGGATGTTGGGATTGAGTGCACCTTCAGAAAGTTTGCCAACGACACCAAGCTGTGTGGCACAGTCAACATGCTGGAGGGAAGGGATGCCATCCAAAGGGACCTGGACAGGCTTGAGAGGTGGGCCCATGCCATGCCATGCCATGCCATGAAGTTCAACCAGGTCAAGTGCAAGGTCCTGCACCTAGGTCGCAGCAATCCCAAGCACAAATACAGGCTGGATGGAGAATGGATTGAGAACAGTCCTGAGGAGAAGCACTTGGGGGTGCTGGTTGATGAGAATCTCAACATGAGCCAGCAATACACACTTGCAGCCCAGAAGGCCAACTGTAGCCTGGACTGCATCAAAAGAAGCATGTCCAGCAGATCGAGGGAGGTGATTCTACCCCTCTACTCTGGTGAGTCCTCACCTGGAATACTGCATCCAGCTTTGGAGTCCTCAGCACAAGAAGGACATGGACCTGTTGGAGCAGTTTTAGAGGAGGGCCACAAAGATGATCAGAGGGCTGGAGCACCTCTCCTATGGAGACAGGCTGAGAGAGCTGGGGTTGTTCAGCCTGGAGAAGGCTCTGGGCAGACCTTATAGTGCCCTTCCAATAGCTGAAGGGGGCCTACAGGAAGGCTGGAGAGGGACTTTTTACACTACAGGATGTAGTGATAGGATGAGGGGTAATGGTTTCAAACTGGAAGACGGTAGATTAAGATCAGTTATTGGGAAGAAATTTTAAATTGTGAGGGTAGTGAAGCACTGGAACAGGCTGCCCAGAGAAGTTGTGGTTGCCCCATCCCTGGAAGTGTTCAAGGCCAGACTGGATGGGGCTTTGAGCAACCTGCTCTAGTGGGAGGTGTCCCTGCCCATGGCACGGGCACTAGAAGTAAATGATCTTTAAGGTACCTTCCAACCAATCATTCTATGATTCTAAGCAGCAGAGACATATTAACTGGGAAGAACAAGGTACTATAGGGAGACTACTGCAGTTTATACCCCATGCAGAGAAATCTTTTATGCCACTATTCAATCTCTTTTCATTCACCAGCCCGTGGGACCTCAGGGGTTGAACCCAACCCTGATGTTAGAATTGGTTCAGTAGAGGTCAAGTCTTGAAAACAATGAGGTGAAGGCTCTTAGACCCATTTGCACAAAAAATACAGGGTGCAACAAAGACAGGTGTGTGAAGGAGGGTCAGCTCCTTATGTACTTATTTCAGGCTATCTAGGTTTCTTACTCAGGAAAATGAGGTTAAAGAGCAAGGAGTTTGTGTGAACCCATTCTTCACCTAAATACGAAGTCAGGCTGTGGCAAGGAACACACTTGACCTGCGAAGTTTGGAAGTGTTACTGGGTCCCCTGGTTTAAAGGGATCCATTGTGATGCATAAGCAAAATCCAGACATAAATGTTAATAGGATAAGCATCATTATTTGAGATCAAAGCTATACTTAAGGTACCTGGGACAGATTTGCTGCTCTATGTGAATACGCCAGCAGCACAATGCACATGTTGGGCTGGCAGAGTTGGCTGATTAAATTGAATGCATTGCTGGAACAACAAGAACTGTACACATACAGCATTGCAATTAATCTGCCCCATAAATCTTTAGCTGTTTTCCACACAAAAGAGCATTACACAGCCTGTAGAGACATGAGGCACGCAACAGAGGCAACAAGACAACTTGACCAATCATTTACAAAAATTTGATTAGAAATAAGAAATGGCAGTTGGATTTAGAACTAAAAGTTCCAACCTTTTAGTTTGAACTTCAACCTGAACGATGCAAGCATCACACAGTATTATTGTCCCCAACATGCCAATTAGCATCTCTGAGGAACTCAATGCTGAATGAAAGTGAAGGTGAGTTCTAGATCTCTGATGAAGACTTTCAAGAACAGAGGTCAGATTTCACATGTGTTATCTTCCACTCATTTTCAGGTAATCTATTGTCCTCAAGGGTGCAGCTGCTTGCAGCTTAGTAGCTTGCTCACCAACACAGCAGATTCTATTCCTTTCAGCATGTCACCTTTATAGAAAAAATTCATTTCTAGTTTATTGTTGGAGAAACAGTCACAGAGAGGCTATGAGGTTTGGCTGAGATCACACAGAAAACACTGGCTAAAAATTGTGTAGAAAACACAGATGAACTCACTCCTTGTGCTGTGGTTTAACCTTTCTTCCTCGGGAACAGACAACTAGTTGCATTGATCCAACAGAGCAGATTCTTTATCAGTTGGGTGGTCTTCTTAAGTCCACCTGTGGTTTGTCCCTTTCTGGCTCTCAACTCAATATAATGCCTCCTAAGAAAAATTGTGAGCGAGTGGAATGCTTTTCCCTCTCCAGCAGAAGAGTGTCAAATGTAACATAAGGGTTCAGTCAAAGTAAGGTCATATTATATCTACTAAAATCTCACTGTATTTAGAGACTGGATAGATAAGTCATCAATCCAATTAACCAGACTTGCAGATAAATGACTGTTAAAACCTGTAATTGGATAAACTGGTTCTTCCTCAAAAAGAACCTTTAATGAATTGACTCTGTTGTTCTAACAGTGGATTCTGAGCCTTTCCTATTGTGACATTGACCAGGACTGCTGTGTCAAGTGGAACAGCAAGAGCATTAACCAAAACTGTAATCTCCTCAGAGTCAGCTTTGTTGCCCTGGAAAGCAGTAGCACATCTTATTTACCTGACACCCTTGGCTTTTCATGGTGTCCATTGCCTTCTTAACTGCAGGGTTTGGAGGCTCACATGCTTCCACCTGAGTCTTCACATTGTGCTCAAAATAGGGACCAACCAGAAAATAGTTTTCACCCCATTCATCTGCTGTAATTTTCGCTTTTGTCTGGATCACAGTGTAAATGCCTCCCACTGCAAAAGAAGATCACAAAGAAAAAAAAGGAGAAAGGGGTACACAAGGGCCACAAAGCTCTGGAATAAGCTCCAACCCACTGGTGGATCAGACAGACCTCTAGTAAAATGCCTTCACATATTCAGCTTTTAAGTGAAACCCAGAGTCTATCACATAAATAGATGTTTGGTCTCTTAAATGGGATCAGAGCTTCACTGTACCATTTAGGAGTATGCACTGGTAGCAGATGTGTAAATCTTAAATGACAATTTAAGGCTTTGCTTATTGCTGAGTGGCTGCATATGGCTTCCCTCAATTTCTCCTCTAATCTCAAATGGATGCTTTCTATCCTTAACTTTTATTTTTACCTAGTCTGTGATTTTTTTTTAATTCCTTTTAGTTGGTTGATGTCACACCACAAATGTTGAATGAATACATTATTTCATTCTTATGTTATTCCCCATTTTTTGGAACTTGAAATCTTTACATTCAGACTGTGAGATTCAAATCCTGGGGATCACGCTTCTGCTCTTCCATGCCTAATCTCACTTCTACTGCAAACCAAGTACAGCCTTCTCCTTTTTTTTTTTTTTTGCAGCAGATACAATTTTCAAACATAGCTTTTGTGATGTGGAAATACATGTGGTGAGAACTGAGCTAGCACTTCCAGATTGTTTTACACAAATCACTGAGAGAAGTCAAGGGGCATTGACTACTGACTATAAAATGGATTTAAACCAATACCCTCGAAGCAAAAGATGTCATGTTCCATCACCATTCTAAAGAGTTGTTAAAGTTGGAAGGAACATAGCCCACACTGCCAGTATAAATGTCTGCAGCACCTTCCACCAAAATATTGTCCATTTTAAAAACAAATACAATATAAAATGTACAAGAGAATGCGACAAAAACATCCTCTGACAAGTCAGTACTGCACACAAGTCATACAACTGCACATAGCAAGAATCTTCAGAGATTACCTGGTTCTCCCTAAAAATCTGCAGCAAATGACCACTATTTACAGTACAGCAGCTCAAGTTGCTCAGCACTTTGGGAGATTAGTTCCCAGATTAATTAAACTGAATCACCTGACAGTTGCAGAAAGCCTCCAGCCAAGCCTGCTACCTTGCAGCCCTGAGGAACTGAACAACAGTTTTTAATTGTGCTCCTAGAAAAGAAACTGTGCACTTTAAATCCCTTTCTTTAGAAATATACCAGTTGTTTTGAATGCTTGAAGGGTCCGTAGCCCTACTATTTTAAAATCAAAATGTCTCAGGATTCTAGGTATTTTACAAAGAAAACCAAATGCAGCTGTAACCACCCAGCTTGCTAAGTAGAATTATTACAATAGATCATTATCCTACATAGTAACTCAAGACCTAAGTATACAAGAATCTTCCAGGTGTATGTTCCTAAATCAGGCTCACAGTTCAAGAATTTTACATCATATAGACATGGAACTGCAGAAGGAAATCTATGCATAAGACTGTTCTTCTCCACTTCATTAGGACTAGAAAGCTAAGAAACTCATTTACAATCACCCTATTCTTCCACAACTGCTCCAGACAGGGATTTAGGTAAATGACACTATATATTCCCTCCAAGTTCCTCTGCTCACAAGCTGAGAGAGACTACTTGAATAACTTTGATTCAGATAAACATCTAATTTTAATCACATGAGACAAGTCACAATGATCAGCCCATAAAGTGATGCAGTAACCATGATCTGCCTGTTCTTATGGGGTGGTAAGTGGTAAACATTTCAGGGCACCGATTTCCTGAATGCAATGAAAAATACTCAATATAAAACCAAAAAAGTAGGGTTAATGTACTGTAGAAACCCTTCAGAAGATAGCTGCGATAAAAGCTCTGAGTTACCTGGTCCCCAAACTTGCTTTTGTCTTCTCTGTTACTGTGGAAATACGACTGACAAAGCATGCCTCTGCATAAGCTTTCATTGACAGGGGAGAGAAAATGTGCAAGTGAAGCTACGTATGTGAAAAGTATTGGGCATCATTTAAAAAATAGACATCTTGAACAGAGCGATGTCTAGAATAATGTATTGGCTTTTGAAATGACGGTTTTCCATAGCAAATTCGAGGAAAACATGATGTATCATTAAAAGATAGCTATTATCTGCTCAGTTACTTTGAATTCTCTAGAAGTACCTGTGTCAGTAAGCAATGCATTACATAGCCTACTGAATAAGAGAGTACATATTCACTTGGAGCCTAACAGAATTCTCCTATTACTTCCAACAATTTAGTAAACCTCCTTATTCTTCTCCAAAATAATGTTTTACGGTCGTATTATAAACAGAAAACATTTCCAAACAACAGGGATGTACCAAAATGTACTTGGTGTTGCAAGTTTCTCTATGCAGCCTCTGAAGTTTTGGACTTTGAAACAGTACAAAACATTCATTCATCTCCATTCTTCCTCTACTTCCAGAGAAAAAATAAGCTGGAAAGGGGAACTAAAATGTTTGGGGAAAAAGGGTTTTATTCATTTAACAGAAGTTTGACTTTTTTTTTAGTGACCTCTTTAAAAAATAGAAGATGAAAACATATTTTTTCTCAGAAAATTTCATAGAATTATTTTTAAAAGCTCGAATGTTTTCATATACGTTACCACTACTATGAATTTGTCTAAAGGATTTCTCTGCATCACTCCAGTAATTTTCTTCTTTCCTCATTTCAAGTCCTGGTGCATTATTCCTTTCATATATTTAAAATCCAAGCAACAATTAGGGCCCTCCAGCCTAGGCATCAGAACTATCTAAATAAATTGGAAGCCTGCAAGTCAAGAACAGTCTCTCAATATCACATCATGTCTGAGGAAAACATTAGGCAGAAGTGGAGATTTTTAGTTGGAATTTTAGTTATTGTTTGCCTGTTGGGGTATCTGGGGACCATTTTCAGAATAAGGTTGTAAAACATGTCAGGTGAAAAAAAACCACAGCATCTTCAGATAGTAGATGTTTTTCATGTATTTTTGGCTACATTCATGGTCAGGACTCATCAGAAGATAGCAGTTCTCTACATTCTGTGAAATTCTGGCATTCCAGATATGTTCTGAAAGAATACGGAAACACTGAAATTGGTGACAGATGTCCACAATAGAGAACCTATTTGTGTCTGCATCACCCCCAATGCATGAGATTGCATTTGAGATGGATTTGATGTTGACGTACCACCCCATCCTAGAAATGCACTGGGCTCGTGCCAAGTTTATGGCAGCACATCCCCACGCCTCACAGTGGGTTAGTTCAGGTGTCACAGATCACATCTTTCACCTTCTTCCAAGGAGCTTTCACAATGGAAGGATGTTTAACGCACAGGGGGCAAAATGCTGGTCCTACTGACTTCAGGGGATTCAGGATTTGATTTCCAATAGTCCAGATTTTCACCAGAGAAACTGTACGTAGAGCTCTGCTCCAGGGAGAACTGAACCAAGGTTTGTTTTTAGCAGAGCCTTCATTCCAATAGGGATGGAAAAAAAATATTTAGGATTCATCTATCAGTGACTCTTCAGCTAATCTGTTCACAGGTGAATGATGATACAAACTGGCTGTTTGCCTAGCGTTTTTAAGCATTCTTCTATTTTCTATCCACAAGCTGTTAGTATTACAGCAGGAGATACTAATCTAAATATTAATGGAATTATTTTAAAGACATCTTTATAGAGCACAGACCAGATCTTGAACATTCTCATCCCTTCTCATTAATGTATCAGAAAACCACTAAAATACAGCTGTTATTGTAACTTACAGAATTTATCCAGATTAAATACTTACATTTTCAGGGGGGGAAAGGGACTGCTGCCATTACTCCTGCAATGGCCTTTGGTTACTCCCCGTTGACAATTTCCACCTGTGGGGCTTCGGCCACAAGATCTACAGAGCTTGTAGCCACATGGTTTGTGCTCCTGTCCTTAAAGTTATTATTAGTCTTCCTGTTATGGGGGAAAGAAAAGTAGTCTTCCTTTTCCAACAGAGATCTGACTCAGACCTGGCTTTACTGGAGCGTGGTGGCCAGGAGAGAAGGGGAAGAGTGTGAAAAGCTGAGCTTCCCCAAGATTACCATGTGGTACTGCAGTGCCCTGGAGCTCTTCCCTGCCTGCTTTTTCCCTCTTCAGCTAGAGAAACACAGTAGATCCACTTCACAGTATGTTTTTCTCACTACTTTGGCAGGGGACTTTCAATGTAAGCTGATTTCAATGTTACACTTGGTTTAGATGGCAAATTCCTTTTCTCAGGGAAAAGTGACACTGGCAAATGAGACTTCTTTATTTCTCATTCTCTCCTTCAACTACCTTGTCTTTCTTTGCTCGAGACAGAGAAAAGGGCAAAGAAGAGCTGTCGGTGCTTCCCAATGTATATGTCAGAGATTGCCACTTAGCAATGTCCAGGCAGCAGCCAGGACAGAGAATATAGAAAGAAGTAGAAAGCTCTGCCTAGTTCAAGCATGTGTTAACATGATCTAGATTTAATGAAAAGAAAAAAAAAAGAAAAAAAAAAAGAGAGAGACACATCCACTGTACCAGCGGCTGAGAAAGAAGTGATGAGACTCTGGAAATGATGGATACTTGTAGATCTCTGAGCACTGCATTCATACAACTGACTTGTCCTTCCCTACAGCTGCATCTCATGCCTCAGTCCCAACCAGCACCATCTGCTGCTCAGGGAAATCCCAGTAAATGCTCGCTCCCCATGGACAGCCTGGCACATGAAGATTCTCTCATAATACGTAATCAGATGTGCTCCAATTTGCAGGACCCCTTCAACACCCTCAACCTCTGAAGGAGAATATTATTTGAAATGTTCAGAAAACAGCTCAGCACCTGTAAAGTGCACCATTTACAGGTGTGGGAATAGACAGCTATCCATGAGCTCTGGTAGTATGTTCCTCACAGAGAATCAATCACAGAATCTTCTAGGTTGGAAGGGACCTTAAAGATCATCTTGTCCAACCATCAACCTAATTTTGACAAAAATAAACACCCGCACAACAAACAAGAAGCATCACCATCACTAAACCATACCTCCCAGCACCACATCAACCCGTCTTTTGAACACCAGAAGAAGAGAGAGGAAGAGGAGAGGAAGAGGAGAGGAAGAGGAGAGGAAGAGGAGAGGAAGAGGAGAGGAAGAGGAGAGGAAGAGGAGAGGAAGAGGAGAGGAAGAGGAGAGGAAGAGGAGAGGAAGAGGAGAGAAGACATTCAGCCTTGAATGTCACTGTCATAGAGGATTGGAGGAACCACTAAGAAGCAGCATGGGTCAAGGAGAAATTGAACCCCAAGCACCTAGTTAAAAGTTAATACAAAGACTTGAACTCTCTCCTGTAGGAAGCAGCAGCTTTGCACCACTTTGAACCATCCTTACACACCTTTGCGTTGCCAGAAAGGAAAAAAAGAAACCTTCATGTTAAATGCTCAGAATTAGCTTGTCAGACAATAAACCCAGCTAATACTTATCTTTTCCTCTACATTAGAAATAAATATAGCGACATTAAAACGAAAACAGATAGCAGTACGAAATGTATGTGGAGTCAGCCTACTCAGTCAAATAAATGGTTCTTCCTTCTGCTAAAGGAGGCAGGAAAAATACAGTATAAGCTACTATTTCCTAAGCCCATGTATCTTCTTTGTTGACTCTTCCCGTATTTTGTTGGCTACTCTCTCTCCTAAGAAACACAGTGCCCTAACATTTTCCAAGAACTGTTTATAAAAGTTAGGTCACCAGAGAACAGTATCTCACAACATGACATTCAATTGCATGGAAGATACAGAAAAAACACTACAGTATCAAGATTTTATCAGAAAAATAAGCTGAAATAGGCTAATTAAAGTTTTTCACAAATGCTTCCAGTCAAGGTTGGTTAACAGAAACTTTGCACAGAGATCCCATTCCAATGAAGAGATTGTTCGCCATGAGCAGTTCAGTCAGCCCTGTTTGAATACATGCATTTGGTAAGTGGTGTAATTAACAGCACCTTATTTTTAAACTGAATAAATGTTCACTCTCATAAATACTAATTCTGTCAAAATGTGAGAATAATAAATTTTAGCTGTGTCAATTGACTTGGCTTTGGTGAAGTCAAGAGCTACACGGATGATTAAATGATTCACTGCATTTTGCACGTACACAGCAAGACAGACAAACCTAATTGTGTTCTACTTTTTTGTAAACATATTGTGTGGTATCTCTAACCAGTGGGTCCAGATGACTCAGAAAATATATCCACTATGGAGTTCAGAGATGTTAGCCAGAACAATTGAATTTGCTAATTTCTGCTGCCATCTGCTTGCCAGTGCCTTACTTACCATGCACACTGCAAAATTAAATGCTGCATGCTCCAAGTTCTGATAGTAGCAAGTTAACTCAAAAAGCTTGACTGAAGCTGCTGGAAAATAAACCCACAGGGATTTGAAGTGCAAAAGCTACTCCATACTACCTCTGGGTATTGATACTGCTCACCACCCTGAAAAGAGCAATGTAAAATTGCACTGTAGTGCAGATTAAATACTAGAAGCTATCACAGAGTATAATTCCAGTTTCACCGTGAGGATAAATCTTAGCTGTCTGTTCCTCTCACACACACATTTCCCCTTTAGAGTTAAAATCTTAACAGATTACAGATCCCCTCTCCTGACTAATCTCTCTATTTATCTGCCAGGACAGTAAGACACGAGGTCAATCATTCACTCATGCTCACTCACTTTTGTGGCAAAAATGGAGCCTTGTTCCCCCCATCTAGCAAAGGAGAATGATTTGATGAGTGAATTAGAAATAGAGGCAGAAAGATCTTTGCGTAACAAGCAGCGTGCACTTTGCCTGACAAGCTCTGTGCAGTGAACAGATTTGAAATCTGTACACATGCACAAAGCATGAAGTCCCTGTCTGGCACCACCTGTTTGCAAAAGACCAGTCCAAAAAGGTTTCAGCTGGCATAAAGGTCATTGACACCTGGCTGTTGTTCAGTGGCTTCAACGCAACTGTGTTTATTTATGCTTACCTCAAATTTGGCCTCTTCTCTACACTGCTACAGAAGGGAGACCACTGAACTGCTCTGAATCTGATGTCTGTTTTACAGCTCATTTTCATACGCTACATCCCCCAAATGAATTTGCAGGGAAGGCAAAATATAAGTATGTACAAAGGAACATCTATATAGATGGAGATATATCCATACACCTGCACACCCTGGCATAATACTTCAATGTTTGTTTAAGTAACCTGTCCCTGGTGGTGAAACACACACAGACATCCAAACTATATGCTCACCCCACACAAGCACAGGCACACGCACACACAGCAGGCACCATTACACACGGACACCACATGCACTCCTTCCAATACCACAGCTCTGCAGCCCACTTTTCCCCAAGCTCCCCTTAAGGCCTTTCTTGTCCAACCCCATCACACCTCCCTCCAGTCCGGTGAAAACCTCAATATTAACTCCTAAGAGTGTTGTACAAACCTTTGTTGGTAACTTCCCAAGAAACTTCAAAGAGCAACAAGTCCTCCACTGGTAGATCTTCATCCTCCCACTGAGGAAGCCCATTAAGAGAGGTCATGGACAGTGACCTAGCCAGTGGCATTTTCTTCAGCCCTTGAATGTTCACCACGCAGGCCACAACAGCTAGCAAATGTCCAGTTAACGTGGCAGTTCTCTGCAGTTCTGGTTCAAGCAATCTGCTGCTGTGCTGGACTCCGAGGAGAAAATTATTCAGATAGCTGGGAGCTAATGGATTTAAACTGTCTGACCACCAGCATTAAATTGGCTCAGTGAAATCCTCAGGGCTTGAGAAGTGGCTGCTGGTAGAGGTAAGAATTTAAGACTGACCTGAGAAAGGTCTTGACTGTTTTGGGGCCAGGATTCTTTCTTCTTCTTCTCTTAGAAGGAGGTAAAAAATGGTTTTGAGTTCCTCAGCCACAGCATTCAGTATCTACCACCTCAGGGACAACAGAAACTTGACTGTTGTAAATTCAGCACTGCCCTGAGCAAACTCCAGCAGGAAGGACAGTTTGAGTTCACCACCTGATTTGAGTCCGGCCTCTGAGTCCTCCCCTTGAGATATACCCTCCCATTAACACCCCGTGGACCTTCTCTATCTGCTGGCTGCTTACCAACCAGGTTAGTAGACTCGTTCTATGTGATGTCTTTCAGATTACTTGCCAGGATAAACGCCGTTACCTATTGTTGTTCAGTTCATCAGTCTGTAAACGCTAGTTTACCTCATACCCTTCCTCCACAATTAACTCCAGCTGTGTACCCGGGGCTCTGCACAAGCTTTCGGCTTCATTCTGCTCTCAAACAGCCTTGCAGCTTTTACAAACGGAGCTACAAAGGCTCTGTCCCTATTTTGGCATGCACTTTGGCAGTTCTGATCCCTGATTTTCCGCCTGGTTTCTCTTTTTCTATGCTATAGCTCTTTTCTGGCCACTGGGGCCGTATCCTGTGCCCAGGGAAAATAGTAAGTCAGGGAACAGTCTGCCCCAGCCTTGCTCCAGCACAGAGCCTGGATGCTGCAAGTGGTGCACACACGTGTGCGGAGATATTGGTCCAGAACTCGCAACCTGAGACCCCCAAAAGCTCCACAGAGCAGATGTCTTGTTTCAAAGACCCTTATGTGCTTACACGTCCGATTGGGAAGTCAGTGCTTCTGGGACAGCTGTGTGAGTTGAATCTGATTCTGAGCTTAGAGCACAACCGGCCCAAAATCATAGAATCATAGAATGGTTTGGGTTGGAAGGGACCTTAAAGATCATCTAGTTCCAACCCCCCTGCCATGGGCAGGGACACCTCCCACTAGACCAGGTTGCTCAAATAGCCATCCAGCCTGGCCTTGAACACCTCCAGTGATGGGGCATCCACGACCTCCCTGGGCAACCTGCTCCAGTGCCTCACCACCCTCACTGTAAAGAATTTCTTCCTAGTATCTAACCTAAATCTCCCCTCCACCAGCTTAAAACCATTGCCCCTTGTCCTGTCACCAGCTCTGCAGGGAGCAAATCTCCAGGTGAGATCCAGGGCCTCTCTGGCACTGTGGAGAACACCGCACCAGCAGCCATGGACTACACAGGAGCTCACTTAAGACAAAACAAGCCCAAGGCAATTGGTTTAAAAGCCTGGTAGCCCATATGCATACAAGTCTCTAGGACACAACATCATACAGCTGAGCCTACTTTAATGGCTAACTACCCACCAAAAGGCTTGGTCTCTTCCATTTACACTCCCCATGCCCTCTCTGCACTCAGGGTGGTCAGGCCCATCCCTCAGCTGAGGGGACACTGTTGGCTGAGCTAACCTAAGGACACGGAGAGCCTGGCGAGAGGGGATGGAGCAGCACAGCCGGGACGGGAGAGAGGGAACACCGCCTCAGCCCGGGGAGCTGCCGCTTCACCCGCGGCCTGGGCCCCGGGGTGGGGAAAAGAGCTTTGTTTCCCTTCCAGGTTACCTGGAAGGCACTGCGGCCTGCTCTGGGAAGGGCTCGGGGTTTTAGCGGCTGGGTGTCCTTTTGTCTCAACGGTTTAAGCTGCCCTATTTACCCGTTTATGGAAAAAAAAAAAAAAAAGCCAGGCTGAGAATCATTATTTTTGGAGCAGCTGTGGCTTTCACTACCTGGAGCAGGCCAGTCCCACGGAGCCGACCTCAGGCGACAAGCGGAGAAGGGAAGAACAAAGCAACCCGCAAGCCCGTCCCAACCCCGGCGGCTTTCGTCAGCCCTGCGCCGGCGAATACACCGCTGCCCCCGGGTCAGCGGGGGCGGGTGCCCCACAGCCCGCCCGTGACCGCGGCCTACGGACCGCCCGCCGACCCTCCCGCCCGGCCCTCCCCCGATGCCTCGCTGCCGGCCGGCCACACGGGGGCGCCGCCGAACGGCCACCGGGGCAGGCCGCGCCCGCCCCTCGCACCGCCCGTCATGGCGGCAGGCGGAGGCCCGGTGGTGTCTCACCACAGAGCTGTCGGCGGGTCTGTCGGTAGCGTTGGGCGGTATGAATGAACTTTTACTCCAGCTCTGGAGCCCCCATAAGAAGGACAGGTCTCTGCTGCTGAGGATCAGTTGATAAAGCAGCTGGTGGGGTGCTTTGTGCCAGCCACCCACCTTTCCCCAAACTACCGAGAGTGGCCCAGGTCACACCCTCAGACACGTGCAAACGGGCAATTAGGCCTTTAAATAAACACAATCTGAACTCCAAGAGAGGCACCACCCTGGGTGGGCTGCATAGGATGGACTGGGGCAACAGGTAGATGCATCTCCCATGAGGAGACCATTGGCATTGGATGGCCAAGAACACAACTACCCCGATGTCTCTCTACTCCAATGTCCCCGATGCGGGGGAAGAACATGGTGAGCATTCAGTGATGGATCCTCCAGGACTGTAGATTTGAGATTTTATAGTTTGTAACTATAAAAACATCCCTGCTCACTGCAGGAGGGGTTGGCCTAGATGACCTTTAAAGGTCCCTTCCAACCGAAATCTTTCTATGACTCTGTAACATCTTTCTATGACAGGGAAGGGATGCCATCCAGAGGGGGCTGGAGAGGTGGGCTCGTGCAAATTGCGTGAGGTTCAACCAAGCCAAGTGCAGGGTCCTGCACCTGGGACGTGGCAACCCCAGGCACAAATACAGGTTGGGTGGAGAATGGCTGGAGAGCAGCCCTGAGGAGAAGGACTTGGGAGTGCTTATGGACGAGAAGCTCACCATGAGCCGGCAGTGCGCGCTGGCAGCCCAGAGAGCCAACCGTGTCCTGGGCTGCATCAGGAGAAGTGTGGCCAGCAGGTCTCGGGACCTCTACTCTGCCCCTCTATTCTACCTCTATTCTGCCCCTCTACTCTGCACTCGTGAGACCTCACCTGGAGCTCTGTGTCCAGCTTTGGAGTCCCCAACACAGAAAGGACATGGACCGGCTGGAACAGGTGCAGCGGAGGGCCATGAAGGTGATCAGAGGGATGGAGCACCTCTCCTATGAAGACAGGCTGAGGGAGCTGGGATTGTTCAGCCTGGAGAAGAGAAGGCTCCGGGGAGGCCTTATAGCAGCCTTTCAATACCTGAAGGGTGCCTATAGAAGAGCTGGGGAGGGACTCTTTGCCAGGAAGGGTAATGATAGGACAAGGGGAAATGGTTTTAAATTGGAAGAAAAAAGATTCAGATTAGATATCAGGAAGAAATTTTTTACTATGAGGGTGGTGAGACACTGGAACAGGTTGCCCAGAGAAGCTGTGGCTGCCCCATCCCTGGAGGGGTTCAAGGCCAGGCTGGATGTGGCCTTGAGCAACCTGGTCTGGTGGGAGGTGTCCCTGCCCAGGGCAGGGGGGTTGGAACTCGATGATCTTTGAGGTCCCTTCCAACCCAAACCGTTCTATGATCCTATGACAGGGACCTGGCAGAGCGGGTCCAGTGGAGGGCCACAACAGAGCACCTCTGCTATGAAGACAGGCTGGGAGAGTTGGGATTGTTCATCCTGGAGAAGAGAAGGCTCTGAGGAGATCTCACAGCAGCCTTTCAGTGCCTGAAGAGCGCCTACAGGGAGTGTAGCCATAGGATGAAGGCTGACAGTTTTAAACTGAAGGAGAGGAGATCCAGATTAGCTATCAGGAAGATACATTAAACTGTGAGGGTGGTGAGACACCAGAACAGGCTGCCCAGAGAGGTTGTGGCTGCCCCATCCCTGGAAGTGTTCAAGGCCAGGCTGGATGGGGCTTTGAGCAATCTGGTCCAGTGAGGATTGAAACTAGATCACAGAATCTTAGTGGTTGGAAGGGACCTCTGAGATCATCGAGTCCAACCACAAAAAAAAAACCAAACAAACAAAACAAAAAAACCCCCACCAAACAAATACAAAACACACCACACCAAACGCCCACCAAAGTCGGCTGCCAGCTCAGCTCCCCCCATATTCACCAGCGAGGCTCAGAGCATGCAGTGCTGCCCTTCAGGGCTCAGGCAATGAGGGCATTCTGCCCTACCTAAAACTCTTTTTGAAACTGTTAACCTCCCAGGATGTTGTCTTCTCTGCACACTACATTAAACTGTGAGGGTGGCGAGACACCAGAACAGGTTGCCCAGAGAAGCTGTGGCTGCCCCATCCCTGGAGGGGTTCAAGGCCAGGCTGGATGGGGCTTTGAGCAATCTGGTCCAGTGAGGATTGAAACTAGATGGTCTTTAAGATCCCTTCCAATTCGAATCATTCTATGCTTCTGTGTCTCAACCTATTTGGAGTCTCGGTTTGTTGGCCACAACATTTCCCGACTTGTTGGCATTTCCTGACTCATTTCCAAACTGTTACCTCCCAGGATGTTGTCTTCTCTGCACACTTTGACCTAACTCTGTCTATTCGGGTAGAGCAGTTTTCTGCAAATACCACCTCAGCCCATAACCCCTGGTAACTAGTCGTGGATGTTGTCTTCGCACCACGGTGCCTCCAGAAGAACAGCTTCAGTCAGTCTTTTTTTTGTTGGAAAACCAACTTCAGCCTCCCTGGCTGCAAGTGAGAAAGCGTGTGTTAGGGGAAGAAATGCTCTCAATGTGTGGGAGTTTATATTGAGATAACTGTCTAGGTCTGGCTTAGTTCTAAACGTAACTGCAGTTTCAGGTTTGCCTATGCTAACTGTAGGGAAAAAAAACCACCCAAGACACAGATGTTAAAAATGCTTATACCCATTGAGTCTAATTTTACAGGAGGAAGCTTCAATGGTTTGTAGCAATTACTGATGTACACACAATGTACTTTAGAAATAGAGCAGTAGGTGGCACTGATAGGGTTCACATGAGTTCTCCAGTGTCTGGATTGTTTGGTTTGACCAAGAGGCTGTTTTATCCCTATTACTAAATCTGGTTCATGACAAACGTTAGTTTTATGAAGCCCATGGAAACAGAATCGCAACACAATCAGCAAAATGGGGGGATTCTTCAACTGGAAGAAAAGCTCTTGTCTCAGGCTGAGACACAGGGAAGAGAGGAGAAGAGGAGGAAAGACTGGATCCTAAATAAAATGAGCTCTTGGTACTCAGCAGTGTGGGCTGCCAAGGCTAAAGCAAGCCTTATGAAGAAAACTCAATGAACTTAAGAGACTGAGCTTTCTTTTGGACCCCTACAAGCAATATTCACTCTCCTAAAGGGACACATTGAATTTTCACTGAATTTCTAGAGTTGGAAGGGACCAAGATGGTCTTTAAGATCCCTTTAAGATCCCTTCCAATTCAAATCATTCTATGATTCTGTGTCTCAACCTATTTGGAGTCTCGGTTTGTTGGCCACAACATTTCCTGACTTGTTGGCATTTCCTGACTCATTTCCAGTCGGCTGCCAGCTCAGCTCCCCCCATATTCACCAGCGAGGCTCAGAGCATGCAGTGCTGCCCTTCAGGGCTCAGGCAATGAGGGCATTCTGCCCTACCTAAAACTCTTTTTGAAACTGTTAACCTCCCAGGATGTTGTCTTCTCTGCACACTTGGACCTAACTCTGTCTATTGGGGTAGAGCAGTTTTTTGCAAATACCAACTCGGCGCATAACCCCTGGTAACTAGTCGTGGATGTTGTCTTCGCACCACGGTGCCTCCAGAAGAACAGCTTCAGTCAGTCTTTTTTATGTTGGAAAACCAACTTCAGCCTCCCTGGCTGCAAGTGAGAAAGTGTGTGTTAGGGGAAGAAATGCTCTCAATGTGTGGGAGTTTATATTGAGATAACTGTCTAGGTCTGGTTTAGTTCTAAACGTAACTGCAGTTTCAGGTTTGCCTATGCTAACTGTAGGGAAAAAAACCACCCAAGACACAGATGTTAAAAATGCTTATACCCATTGAGTCTAATTTTACAGGAGGAAGCTTCAATTTGTAGCAATTACTGATGTACACACACTGTACTTTAGAAATAGAGCAGCAGGTGGCACTGATAAGGTTCACATGAGTTCTCCAGTGTCTGGATTGTTTGGTTTGACCAAGAGGCTGTTTTATCCCTATTACTAAATCTGGTTCATGACAAACATTAGTTTTATGAAGCCCATGGAAACAGAATCACAACACAATCAGCAAAATGGGGGATTCTTCAACTGGAAGAAAAGCTCGTCTCAGGCAGAGACACAGGGAAGAGAGGAGAAGAGGAGGAAAGACTGGATCCTAAATAAAATGAGCTCTTGGTACTCAGCAGTGTGGGCTGCCAAGGCTAAAGCAAGCCTTATGAAGAAAACTCAATGAACTTAAGAGACTGAGCTTTCTTTTGGACCCCTACAAGCAATATTCACTCTCCTAAAGGGACACATTGAATTTTCACTGAATTTCTAGAGTTGGAAGGGACCATAGAGATCATCTAGTCCAATTACAGTCCATTACAGACACGTGTTTGCTGAGGATGCTGCTGACTTCAAAAAAGCAGCATGATAACATTACAGTCCTTTTCTTTTCCCTCTTCACCCCAGATTTTTGTTCTCTTCTTTCTTTTCCCCTTTTGAACTTCACTGTGGTATTTCCTGACTTCAGTTACCTAAACAGTTAAAGGTGTTCCTTTGATCTCCATGGGATGTAGGTGTCATTTTGACCCCACTGGAAGGCCTCACTGTTTATTACCTTTGCAGTTTAGGTGTACCCATGAAGCTCCCCAGAAATATTTTAGGAAAAAAAAAAATCAGATTTTTACTTACTCATAGAAAATCTTTCCCAGAATTTTAAGGTAGAAATTGTCTGTTTTCCATGGTTTAGTTTTGTGTTATACAACCACAGTGAGAT